AAAAAAGAAAAAAGAAAGTCAGGCAGTTGTTCCAATTGGTAAGGCCTGAGGGGACAGGGATGGCTGAGGCACTGCATTGCTCAGACCCACTTATGTCCCTCATCAGATTCAGGCTGTTACTGCATCTTTAAAGTCACAATTTCTTAAAAGAGGAGGAGGAGGGGGGAGAAGAATAAAATTTACATCTGGAGGGATAGTGGGGATAAACTACAATCCCCACTGCTGTGGTTGGTTCTAAGGCTAAAGCTGAGATTCACTTTTATTTTATATCCTCACCTGAGGACATGCTGAGAGAGAGAGAGAGAGAGAGAGAGAGAGAAAGAGAAACAGAGAGAGAGAAAAGAGAGAGAGAAACATTGATAGTTTACCTTCTGTATGCACCCCAACCAGGAAAAACCACAACCCAGGTATGTGCCCTGACCAGGAATCGAACCTGCAACCTTTCAGTGTACAGGATGACACTCAACCAACTGAGCCTCTCCGGTCAGGTGAAATTCTTCATTTTCATCCTCTACCATCCCCTCTCTCTCAAGCAGCACTAGATGCCTGGTGGGTAACTTGGACTTTCATTTCCTGGGCCCTGACTTCTATGCCCTTTTTAGGCTGTGATAGCCACAGTTGCCCATTTGTGGCACACGTGAATCCCCTGGCATGTAGGTACATTCTGCCTGCTCCCATCATGTAGCAGCAACCCTATCTCCTCATGATAATCAGGTTCGATTACCCCTGCCAAGATAATCTACTCCAAGTGTGTGAGACAGGAGGAGCCAGGCATAATGCTAAGTATGGAGGACTCTACTCTGTGGACAGACGTCGACTCTACGCAAGCTTTCACCTCCAGCTCCCACTGTGAACTGAGTGGTCATCTCCATACTCTCCCATTTAAATTTCGGAGAATGAAAATGTGATAATTCTGATTTCCAGGCCAGGCCACCCCACAGGCCACAGACTTGAGTCAGTTGCCCAATCAGCTGAGGTAAGAGGGGTTAGGGTCACATAATATAATTTTTGGGGTCTAGGGCTGCCTCATCAGCAGGGGTCCGCCCCCCTTAAAGAGGATGGTAGGTGTGGCTGGAACAGTATGTGACATATTTAGTAAAGGTGATGTAGTCCTGAGGGGACAGCCTTTTGACCCCTTCGAGCTCCAAAAAGCCTGATAACTGCCTCTCCCCTCAAACTTAAAAAAAATTTTTTTTCCTTTATTGATTTTAGAGAGAGAGGAAGTGAGAGGGAGAGAGAGATAGAAACATCGATGAGAGAGAACATGGACTGGCCACCTCCCGCATGCCCCCCACTGGAAATCAGGCCCACAACCTGGGCATGTACCCTGACCGGGAATTGAACCAGCGACCTCTTGGTTGGGTTGATGCTCAACCACTGAGCCACACCGGCTGGACTTCCCTCAAACTTTTGTATATAAATTACTGTTAAGCCAGACTCCTTCCATCCCATACTTCTGTAACTTATTTTTTGAACCCCAAGTTTCATTTTTTCAATAAATGCTAGCTGTTATTATTACATTTATTATAGTTCATTTTGTGGTTTCAAACCATCATTTTGCCCTCCCTTAATGTTTGATCCTTGAGTCCCTTTTGGTGTATTTCCTTTTTTTTTTTTTTTTTATAGTTCCGTGCCATCAGCATCTAGGAATGTGCTTTTTTTTTTTTTTATTCTCACCCGAGGACATTTTTTCCATTTTTTGTTCAGATAGAGTGTGGGAGGGAGAGAGAGAGAGAGAAACATCGACGTGAAAGGGACACATCGAGGGGTTGCCACCCACACGACCCAACCAGGGCCGGGGACAAACTGCAACCGAGGTATGTGTGCTTAGCGGGAACCGAACCCAGGTCTCTCAGGACCGCAGGCCGACGCTCTAACCGCTGAGCCAAACCAGCCAGGGCTAAGAATGTGCTTTTTATGTCACCATTCAAGAAAGGACCAAAGAGAGGCCAGGGGTAAGTCACTGGAGACCTACTGGCACTCTTTGGCTTCAGTGATCAAAGGGCTGCAAATGACCTTCATAGTACTATGAGATGGCTCACTGTTCTCCCTCTTGGCTTGAAGCTACAACAGACTTTTAAAGATGCTTTTGTACTCGGTCAGTATAGTTCAGTGGCTGAGCATTGATCATGTACCAAGGGGTCACCAATTCAATTCCCAGTCAGGGCACATGCCCAGGTTGTGGGCTCAGTCCCCAGTGGGGGGATATGCAGGAGGTGGTCAATCGATGTTCTCTCATTGATGTTTCTTTCTCTTTCTCCCTCTCCATTCCTCTCTCTCTAAAATCAATAAAGAAAAAAAAGATGCTTTTGCTAAAATCTATACTTACTATATCTGCAGCATTCATGTCCTTGATTTATGTCAGACACTGTCAAGACAATCCCATATTTTATTAATTTTCTTTCTTTATTGATATTAGAGAGAGAGGAAGGGAGATGGAGAGAGAGATAGAAACACTGATGACAGAGAACATTGATTGGTTGCCTCCTGTATGCCCCCCACTGGGGATTGGGCCCACAACCTGGGCATGTGCCCTGACCAGGAATCGAACCAGTGACCCCTTGGTGCATGGGTTGACGCTCAACCACTGAGCCATACCTGCCGGGTAATTATTTACTGTTTATAGCATTCCTGCAAGTGTTCCTGCAATGGATTTATATACATGCTGCCCCTACCTCCTATACACCACAGACACAAGTACCCTGACTGCACCCTTCCACCCCCTGCCACCAGCTGAGCTATACTCCCCCCAGGGAATCACCAACACACAGCTGTCTCTTATCTAAGGGTGTCCCTGACCAGGTGCCTGGGGGAGGGGACTGGGTTGTTGGAAACTTGAATCAAGCAGGGACAGTTAACAGCTGCAGGGACACCTTAGGAAACAATGAGCCTTAAAAGGAAATATTTGTAGAATCTGTCCCCATGACCTTTTAATACTTTTCTGAAAATGACCCGTCATTCCCTGCCATGGAGAAAAATAACAGCTTTAACAGGCACCGTTTACCTACAGAATCCTTTGTGCTTAATCCTCTGGGCAGGCTCTGATGCTCCCCCAACACAGACATCCCTAAGAGATGCGCGCGCGCGCACACACACACACACACACACACACACACATGCCTCTCCCTGAGACACATTCCTCAGGTGACAAATGTGCACTTCTGCCTCAGTGGGCACTTTGGGGCCGGCCGGGTGCTGCTGTTAGGCAGAGCTTTCCACAGACCTAGGCCCATCACAGCACACTTCCACACGCCAGTAATCACACACTATGAGCTGTTCGCATGAGGTGAGAGACTCTTTTCCCCTTTTCTTTTCCTCCCCACAGCTGCAAGGAGGTGTTTCTGAGGGGGTGGATGTCACCCACTAGGGGTGGGTTTTCCCCACCCCCGGTCTTGTCTTGTTCCAACTTCTTCCCACCCCAGAAGTAGGCCCTTTCAGGGCCACATTCTGGATCACGTCCTGGTAAAAAAGAATCAGGGGGAACCTCTGAACCACTGCTCATCAGCTGCCTCCTTCTTCCCCTGGTTTCTCTCTCTTCCATCAGCCATCAATGATGAGGGCCTCTCAGCTCCTGATCTTCCCCCATAATTGTCTCTTTCTCTTCAGGGCTGGGCATAAAGGGACAATGTTGGGACTTTTTAAAGGGAGAACTTTACTAGTAAAGGAAGAAAGAAACCACCCTGGCTGGTTTGGCTCAGCAGTTGAGCGTCGGCCTGGGGTCCAGAGAGACCTGGGTTTGGTTCCTGCTAAGGGCACGTACCTCGGTTGCAGTTTGTCCCTGGCCCTGGCTGGTCGTGCAGGTGGCAGCTACTCGATGTGTCCCTTTCACGTCGATGTTTCTCTCTCCCCCTCCCACTCTATCTGAACAAAATATGAAAAAATGTCCTCTGGTAAGGATAAAAAAAAAAGAAAGAAACCAAAAAAATATCAAACCTCAGAAGGTCCAGAGTGTGCATGGTTAGCACCCAGACCCTGCTTTGTCTTTGCTTCCCATTGTCTGTGAAGCTGCAGCCCTTCTTCATCCTATGCAACTCCTTTGCTTACCTGCTGCCTGACCCTCCAACAAGGGTGCATGAGCAGTCAGTGCTGCAGGCTTTAACAGAGATGCACAAGTTGGGGTTGCCCTCATCCTCACCCCCAGCCTGGTCCTAGCCCAGAGCCTCTGCCTCCAGGACTCAGCTTGCTGGATCCAGCTCAGATGTTGGGAAACAGGAGATGCCATGAGTCCGGGGGTGGGGGTGGGGGTGGAAGGGGCTGACTGGCCATAGGCATGTAGGCATGACAGGGCAACAAGGGTGGAAGGGTCGGGGAAATGCTGTGGAGTCTGGGGATAATACAGAGGAGAAACAGTGTGGTCCTAGATTCTCTGCATCCTCCAAAGGCTGCTGTTCCCAGGAAGAGGTCTGGAGTGAGACTCCCTGAGTGTGGGATCCTTGGCAGCTCTGTGGGCCTATAGCAGGAGGGGAGCTGGGTCTACTCTGAAAGCCCCCAAATTGATGGGTAGATGAGCCCACAAAGTCAGGGACCCCTTTCTGGGAACAGATACCTGCTGGGAACCCCAGGATGACAAGGACCTAGGGCTCCATACTACAACCCCCCCCAATCTGATGGGGAGGATGAAGCCCCACCCTGGAGCTTCAGGGGAGATCCTACAGGGTCAGTTGAGCGCAAAAGAGCTCTGGCTACACAGAGAAAACCTGTGGACAAGGCAGCCAGGAGAGGAGCCATAGGGCAAATCAGGGGAGATGATCAGAGGATGGGCATTTGGAGGCTGGCACTGCCAAGGTGAGTCTGGGTTTATGAGGTGGAACAGAGAGACGACACAGTGGTAGGCTTGAGTAGTGGTCCTATGACCCCCTAAGCCCCAATCCCCATGCTCTGGACCTCAGTTTCCCCTCCCCTGCCCCTCTGGCCAGTGCTCAAATGCCACCCGCTTCACTGAACCCACCTGTCTGAGACTTGCTCTCATCTTCCTCTTTTGTGACTAGAAGTCACAGGGCAAAGCACTAAGCCGTACAGTCACAGAGGGAACACAGAGCCTAAGAGCGTGAAGGGACAGAGGGGAGAGTGGGAAGAGAAGCTTGCCACTGGAAGAGGGGAGACAGGTGGGGCAGAGGTGCCCAGGACCATGGCTGAGTCTGTCACCTATGCAGACCTGCGGTTTGTGAAGGCTCCCCTGAAGAAGAGAATTTCCAGCCAGTTAGGACAGGGTAAGGGCAGATGAGGGGTCTCCTGGATTCTGCATCCCCATCCTCCTTCACTACTGCACCCCACCGACCCCATTCCCCACTCACACCTTGGTCCCTTTTCTCTCCTCTACAGACCCAGAGGCTGACGACGATGGGGAACTTACCTATGAGAATGTACAAGTGCCCTCAATCTCAGGAGGGGCCTTGAACTTGGCCTCTTCTGGATTAGGGGACAAAGCTGGTATGGCGAGCCCAGGGCTTGTTTGTTTGGGGGAGGGGGGGCTGTGTCTTGAGCTGGGGAGTCCAGAGTGGTCTTGGGAGGACAGTGTCCTTGGGAAAAGGGGCGGGGTTGGTTCTTAGGAAACGGAAGATCGAGCGCTGGATAAATGGCAGCCAGGGGAAGAGAAACGGTACCGGGGCAAGGTGGACGCCGGTGGAGACAGGGGTCGGAGGACCAGGCAGCCCTGTGGGGCGAGTTCGAACGGAAAAGGAGTCAGGGCAGGGGGAAGAGCGGTGGAGGCCGGGGTGAGAGCATTCCTGGGAGAGGGTTTGGGGCAGACGGAGAGGGTCCCCGGGGAAAAAACAGGGAAGACTCGGACCGGCCGGAGAAAACCCCGGGGAGCTGCGGAACCCCGGAGAGCGCTGAGGGACACCCGGAGGAGCGGCCCAGACAACGGGGGCCCTGCGGTCTCAGCGCGGCGGGGCGGGTGGGTGGCTGGAGTGGCAGCAGGGGCATTTCCCGGGGCTTTCCGAATCTAACTGGACTCGCTCGCCGGGCGCAGGAGTTCAGTCCGAGCCGCCAACTGCGTTCCGGAGCTCCGCGACGTCAGCAGCAGCCGGGCGGCTTTCAGGCTGTGAGTACTGCGCCCGCCCCGCCCCGCGCGCCGCCCGCCCCGCCCCGCGCGCCGCCCGCCCCGCCCCGCGCGCCGCCCGCCCCGCCCCGCGCGCCGCCCGCCCCGCCCCGCGCGCCGCCCGCCCCGCCCCGCGCGCCGCCCGCCCCGCCCCGCGCGCCGCCCGCCCCGCCCCGCGCGCCGCCGCCCGCGGCCCGGCTTCCGCGCGAACACGCGGGGCGGAGCCTCGGGCTCGGGGCTCGCCCACCGCGCAAACCCCGAGAGGCGCGGCCGGGTGGGCGCCCCGTGATGTGCTGGCGCCCCGCCGGGCACGGGTCTGGTCCCCGGCATCCCCGCCCCCCCCCCACCACTTTCACCCCCATCTTTCTGAGATGACCCATATCGGCTCCCCACACCCCACTTACGATGGTCCCCATTCACATACCCCCTGCTTCTATCTGGGTCTGAGATTTAGTCCCCCTCTACCAGGTAGCGCCCTCAGTCCTCACCAGTAGCACTGCCAGCCCTCATTCTGGTGTGTCTTCCCTGTGCTACCTGCGGAAACTCATTGCCCGACAAAAGCCACCTGCCTGCACCGTGTCCTCGGAGGGAGGCTCTTTCCCATGAATCCCACCCCTCCTCCCCGCCCGGTTTGTATAAACTTTCCTGGGGCTCACTGCCCCTCTGCCACTGTCTTCTTAAGGCCGTTCAGCCTGCTCGAAATACCTCCTTCTGGGCCTGCTCCTCACCTGCCTGCTGTTAGGGATGACTGCCATCTCCCTGGGAGTGCGCTGTGAGTGTGGCTCCCCCATTTTTCTCTTACCCCAAACAACTGTCCCTCACTCTCCCCAACATCGGCCCTTCCTTCAGCAGGGCCCGGGTTACTACTACCGCATCCTAAGCTTTTGGTCTGGTTTCCAGCCAGGTCTGTTCTAGAGCACTGTGTCTTCCTAAATTAACCTCACTTGATAATCCAGTACCTCCTTAAGCTTTAGGCAGTCAGAGCTTCTATTTCAGTCTGCTATGCAAAAGGTTACAAGAAGCAGAAAAAGAATTGATGCTGAAGTCACAGGGCACCAGGGCAGGCTGAAGAAGGTGCCATCTAAATCTCTCTCTCTGGCCAAACAGATCTGCAGGTGTCTCGGCAGCTCCAGCACGCCAACAGGGTTCTGGAAGCCACTAACAGCAGTCTGAGGCAGCAGCTCCGCCTAAAGGTCACCGAGCTGGGGCAAAAGGAACAGGATCTGCAGGGGTCCAGGAGGAAGCTGGCCCAGAGTCAGGAAGCACTACAGGTGGAACAGAGAGATACCCAGGCTGTCAAGGAGCAGTTTCAGGGCTGCCTGTCCAGCTGGGAGGGGACAAAGGAGGCCTTGAGACATGAGGAAGAACAGAGGAGGACCTCGGAGGAGAGGTTGAACCGCATGCGGGACACAGTGAAGCCCTTCTTCACATGCCCCTCACAAGGTATCTGCCTAGGAGAGGAGATGGGAGGGATGGATTGAAGTGAGGAGACATTCGTGGCAGGGGTGCAGGGGTTCTATCAGGGGTCCGTTGAGTTGTTCAGGAAAGGAGTAGTGAACCAGAGTGGTGGCTGACAAGCTGTGGAGTCTTAGCCAACAGGGAGAAGGATCGAGTTGCATACTGGATTTAGGGGGACTCACCCAGCTCTAAGGCAGGTCTTGGGAGAGAGAAGGGCAGCAGCCAGCAGTGCAAAGCATGCTGTCCAAAGCAGCAAACTTAAGTCACATCAGGCTTGACATCAATGTTCAGTGTCAAGGGTCCAGGAACCCCTTGAATTTGGATGTGAAATTGGTTGTTTGCACATTTTCTAAAGATAGGGTCTATAGCTTTAATTAGTTTTTACTACCTATGAGATTCCCCAAAAGATTAAAAATTACTGATTGACAAGGCACAGTCTGGTGGTGGGCAAGGCAGCTGAAGCTCTCAAGTGTGGGTGACACAATGAGGTGGGTGGCGGTAATGTGGGGTAGGGAACTGGGGTGGAGTGTACATCCAGCCAGAAAGGGGGAATGAAGGAGGGGGACACATCAAAGGGAGGGGCTGTGCCAAAGCATGCTGAGGTTCGAGGCAGGGTACCAGGCCCAAGGGGACTGGACTGTTCATGGACTAGTTATCTGTGGTCAAGGTTAGGTTCAATCTAGCTTAGAGGCCATCTGGATACTCTCCCCTCTCCCAGCTTAAAACAGTGAGATTATGTGCATACTCCCAGACCTCATTTTTTTACCTTCTTAGTCCCTATGGCCCTCAGTTCCATGCCAGTGCTGCCACTCCGATAGCTGCACCCTAGAGCCCAGCATCCCAAACTACTCTTCTGCTGAAAGGACAGTTTCAGACCTCCACTCTGACCACTACTGCCCCCACACTTCTTCAACCTCATGTCTCCACCCCGCTGACTCCTCTGCTTCCTTCTTTCTGGCAGCTGTCACCTGTCCTCACTTCTACCACCTTGCATTCCAGGGTGCATCCCTTCAAACACTCACTGCTTTGCTCCACTATCCTTCTGAAGCACCTGACTGGCAATATCTCAACTCTGGGTGAGCTCCACGGCCCATATTGCTCCGATGTGTGACAAATTGTGCAAATTCCGCTTGGTGCCACTGAAACTCTAGTTTCAACCTCAGCTGGGTCTCAGCACTGCCTGGCAACTCTGCAGTGGTCACCCTGCTCGCCACAGTAACTCCTTACTCTACTACCCTTGCTCTCGCTTTGAACAGATGCCCTGCTCACCAGAGAGAAATTCCCTCCATTTTCCACCACCTAGTCTATATATTCACTTCCATTTTTGCCCACCCCCATCTCTTGCAAGGATAACTGCAACAGCTTGCTGGACATTTTCCCTAAACACTGCCCCCCCCTTCCACTGTACATATTGCAGCCAGTGTAATCCTTGAAAACCAAAAACCTGGTCATTGCAGTGAAAGCATGTCATTCCAGTTAATTAATCAAAAGTTACTGAATACTTACTATATGTCCAGCACTGTGCCCAGGCACTTGGGGTACAGCCAGTGAACAAAATTTCTATATGTAAAACCCTACATAGACTTTCTTTTCCTTGTAATAGAAAAATAAAAAATCCTTTAATGGCTTTCAAGGCCCCTGACTACCTTTCCCCTCACCCTCTTCTATTTGGCCACACCAACTATTTTTTTTTTATCCTTACCCGAGGACATTTTTTGTTCAGATAGAGTAGGAGGAAGAGAGAGGAAGAGAGAGAGAGAGAAACATCGACGTGAAAGGGACACATCGAGTGGCTGCCACCCGCACGACCAACCAGGGCCGGGGACAAACTGCAACCGAGGTAAGCACACTTAGCAGGAACCAAACCCAGGTCTCTCTGAACTGCAGGCCGATGCTCTAACCACTTAGCAACCTGCCAGGGCCACACCAACTATATTTGAAACATCCTCACCAGAGGATATGTTTTCAGTAATTTTTAGAGAGAGGAAGGGAGGGAGAAAGGATGGAGGGGAAGAGAGAGAGAGAGAGAAAGAGAAAGATCAATGTGAGAGAGAAGCATCAATTTGGTTGTCTCCCATATGCACCCTGGCCTGGGATGAACCCTGAAACCTAGGTATGTGCCCTGACCCAGAATCAAACCTACAGCCTTTTGGTGCATGGGACAAGGCTCCAACCAACTGTGCAACCGGACCAGGGCCACACTGACTTTTTTTTCTTTAAATTACTATTTTTGAGGTGCATTCTGGTGTTGGGCAAGGACAATAACTCAAGCAATGGAGAGAGGTGGGTTGGCATCAGGAGCACAGGTTGATATGTGGGATGTTAAAGAAAGAGGGATGTTTATTTCTTATGGATAGTCAGGAAAAAAGGAAGAGAGGAGAGACAAATTTTGAGGTGGAGGGAAGGGAAACAGAGCTCACATCAAGTGTCTGACAATTTCAGCGAAACAGGAACCAAGGTTGTGTACTTGTGGAAGAGTGGAGAGAGCTAAGGAGGTGGCTAGCAGCTTGAGGAGTGTGGGAAAGTTTTCAGTATGCAGCGTGGACTGCTTTTGGGAGCGAATGGCTGAGGGACAGTCCTGTTGAACACTATGGGTACCTAGGTGCGGTTAGCCAAAATGGGGGGGGGGGGAGGGGTAGTGGACTGTAATTGTTCAGAAATTGGGAACGGTGCTACCAGCCCTATTAAAATAAACCTACCAGACTGTTGAGTAAACTTACTGAATATTAAAGGCTTGCACTAAGTGTACGCAGGTTTGGCATTCTCAGAAAGATTGCAAAGATCAAGGACTGGAAGTCAATGAAAGAGCTGAGATTAGACCCAGGGGAACATTGTCAGCAACTAGATCACTGAGCAGTCACTTTCATTTCAAATGTTGAACTCTCCTATCTGGGTCTGGGCTGTGCTGTCACACTCTTTCTGTTTTTTAGACACCTGCTGTCCTGTGGGATGGAAACCGATAGAGAAGAATTGCTTTCATTTCTCACTTATTAACAGAAGCTGGGAGGAGAGCCAAACCTATTGTACATCTCTGTCCTCCAAACTGGTCACTGCTGGGCCCAATGATCATTATTATTATTATCGTCCAGTAAGCATACCTTTATTCACAGGCTGTCATGGGTACTGTTGGGTAAAGGGACGTATGTCATCAAGTCAGGAATGGCAGTGCACACAGGGCGCGCATGCTGTGGGGTGCATTCCTTTCCTATGCAGCTTCTCAGCACAGTGCTCCAGGCAGCCCCAAGGATTAGAGTTGGCATGAGAGTTGAACAATCTTTACTGTTACCTGATTCTCATTTCAGCATTCTGGGCTGCCTAACAGATTCTTTGGCTGTTGTGACCCCTCAGGCAGAGAGGCCCCAGACCTGGTGGGCTGGTTTGTAGGGATTGTTTCCTTGAGACCACAGCAGCCCACAGAATGACTCCCCTTCAAAGGCTGGCAGTTCTTACCCAGGTGGGAGGTGAAGTGAAGGGTGAGCCTGCATCTGCCGGGTGGCACTTGCAGGATGCAGGGATAGGTCACCAATGAGCTGATGTTATGCACCAAAGATGGGCACAGTCCTCTTGTCAGAGCTCCTGGGTCTCCCCATTCATTTCCTTCTATCAGGCCAGGACCCTTCTTTTACACCCTCCCCCTTTTCCACGAGTTCTCATCACTCTCCATTCACCTCTGGTATCTCTGAATCTCCCCTCAGAATACTTATAACAGCCGCATATATAAGGTGTTGAAAGATGATGATTGGTCTCATTCTTATTGGATTGACTACCTGTGGGAGACGAAGCAGGGGATTAATGGTAAAAGATCCTATGGGTGAGTTCGTTAGGACTTTTGGGTACCTCCAACGTCATAATCCCTTCATGAACCTAGGGCTTCACAGCTGAGGAACCCTGGCTTCTAAAAGGCTACCCAAACTGAGGCCGTACTTCCTCAGTCAGGGCCACTTGGGGCACTAAAGTTGCCCCAGGGGAGTAAGGGGGCAGTGGGTAACTGAGATCAACCCCAGGGACCTTGAGATAGGATAGTCACCTCCTATGTTCCCTAACTGGAGTTTCCATCTATAAGCCTTGGGGTGATTTTTCCCTCCCCTGGTCCTAAAGCCTCTTGGGGTTGGAGTCCAGACATCTGTCCCTGAGCCATACCCAAATGTGGCCTTGGGTAGATAGGGTGAGTTAGGATTTGGCTAGGTTTTATGCAGGGCAAGGGGAGAGGAGGAAGGGGAAGGGAGGGGGCCAGAGCCTATCCCAGTTCTATTTCCTCACTCTTTAGTTTTTATGTTCCAAATACAGATGTTGGAGGGCAAATAGATATCGGATAGAATCCAAAGAGTGTTCTTCTCCTCAACCCTGCATCTGTGAGAGGGAAGCTTTTAGGTATCCAGATTAGCACTGTGCTGGTAAGTGTGAGGATGGGACTGAGGCATGGGAGCCTCGGGGGACAGGGACTCAGCAAGGGTCCAGCTGCTGGGGGTGGGGGGACCTGTCCCTGGGAGTAAGTCCTGTTCACAGCCCCCAGGAGCTTGGTACACTTATATAAGGAGTGTTGCACAGGAAGAGGTGCAGGGGAAGCCTGGAGCTGAGGGGAGGCTGGTGATATGACTGTCTAGGGAGCTGGATGAGGGTTCTTAGTGACAGTCACTGTGGAGCTCATTGATATTGTATATTCTTCCAGATCCTCATGTCAACAAGAGCCTGCGCCTCTCATCCCTAACCTGCTGCCACAGGTCCTGTGATTATCTCCCTCCAGTGTCCCCTCAATTTGCTTGGACAGTGCCTGGCCAAGGGCTGATCTATGCCCAACACTCCTAAGCAGCCTGCTGCCTGCTTGAAATCCTGTCCCAGAAACTGGACTATTCCTGGGGGAAGGGTGCAGGACACTCTAGAAGAGATTTTGGCCTCCCGAGAACCTCCCATAGTGGAATGGTGGGGCTGGGGAGGGCGCATGGGCTGAGTGGATAGGGGCAGCCCGGAGCCAGCCAGGCAGTTTTATTGAAATATTTTTTAAATAATCTGCACGTGTTAGTCTCGTGTGTCAGCAGTGCTGTGTGATCCCAGGGGTTGGGTAGGGAATATTCTGTCCCTTGAGTCCATGCTGAGGTTCCTCTCCATGGAGAGAGGAGCTGGTCACCCCATCTGGGACTGGCACTGTCGAGCATGTGCGCTGTCCTCACAGGGCATCCTGAAGGCCAAAGTTGGAGGCCCCGCTGCTAAGAGCGTGCCCCAGGCAGCTGAAGGCTGGGTGTGGGTGGCTTGGCATGGTGCCCTCGGTGGCAGAGGAGACTGCCAGCCTCACAGTTCAGGTTGCGGTAGCGGGCAACAGCTGGTGTGGGGCGGGGGCACATGGATAAGAAGCCAAAGCTGAAGGGGCCCAGGCAGCAGCCAGGGCAGGGTAGCCCCTCCTCGGACTCCCGAGGAGCTGAAGGGGGCGGCGAGGGTTCTGTCCGCTCCAGGGCTGCCGCCCGGGGCAGGCTGTGCTGGGCTCGGTTCCAGGGCTCCCCGGCCCAGCCCTGTGGGGAGTTCACCACCACAGCTGGGGGGTTGTTGTTAAGGGGAGGTCCTGATCTAGGGGACCAGGGCTGGGAGGCTGACGAAAAAGTGCTGATGAAGTTGTCTGTGGCCACAGCCAGGGGCAGCTGGGGGGCTGGTCCTGGGGGTTCCGGCTCAGGGCTACTGCCCTCACACTCCATTCTCTCTTCAGCTGTGGGGCCCACAGTTGGAGGGCCAGGGCCTGGAAGTACTGTCTCCATACGTCGGGGGAGCTCAGGGGATGATGGTAATGAGCGGCAGCGACGGACAGGTGTCCCAGGCTGAAGTAGGGTCTCTGGAGTGGTCACCAAGGGCAGCCAGGTAGAGGAGGGCAATGGTGATGGTGGTACAAGGGGCGGGGGGGTGACTGGCTTGCTGGGTGTGTCCAGGAGCTTGATCTTACCACCCCTGAGGTCTTCCCGTAGTGAGAAGGGGTTGACTCGAGTCAGATTGTCCCCCCATTTGGGGGGTGATTCTGGTGATGGGGGCAGGAAGAGGTCTGATCTGCTTCGGGAGAGCCGGGGGTCTGGCCTGGGAAGCGTGGCAGAGGGACCCCCTCTTGGAACAGACCCTGTCAACAGAGAAGTCTGTGTTCACTGTTCTCAGCACTGATAGTTTCTTGAGGGTCTCATTATTCACCAGGAGGCTGGTGGGACTAGGGCTTAGAAAAGGGAGTCTGACAGGGTACTTTGGAAAGGGGGAGATGTCACCTCCAGGCACTTTTTACCTTTTTCCTTCCTTAAGGCTCTAGAATTAGAAAACTATCTTCTTTGAGATGTCCTCTCAGGCCCAACCCCATCCCTAAACTTCTCAAAGAATAAATACACTTAGTTTCCCCCAGATAATTCCCTGAGTTATAGGAGGAGAGAGGCAAAAGGACTCCAGTTGGGTCAAGGTCATGCTCACTTACCCTGATTGTGTATCAGGGGAGCCCTGGTGAGGGGGGCTGGCTCAGGCAGATGCTCCAGGATCCATTCCAGGTGCTGGGTGATTTCAGTGAAGGGAGCACGAGCGCTAGGTTCCATCTGATGGATAAAGACAGGGGCAGCTTCTCTCAGTGCTCCAAAAGTGGGTTCCTGAGCTCTCTTTCCATCACCTGGGACAGGACAGCCTTGTCAGCTGGTGGATGGGGGTGGAGGGCAGGGAGGGTGAGGCTCTTACACTGCAGCAATGGATGGCCAGGAGCAGGAAAGGCAGTGGGCAGTCATCCCCTACCAGGGTCTGGAAAGCAGCCACATCCAGGCCAAAGTCCTGCAGGATAGAAAGGAAGGGCCTCCAAGTCAGCTTTCCTTGGGTTCTCTTTCTGCCCCCAGTCAGGACCTCGAGCTCCAGGGAACCCTTCTTGGTTGTAAGTTGCCCAGCCTGGAGTTCCTCCTTTTTAAACCTGGAGACATCATTCACCTCAGTACGGGGTAGGTAGTCAGGGTCTGCAGGTACTCGTGCAATGAGCTCACAGAGGACAATCCCAAAGGCAAAGACATCGGCCTGAGTGGAGGAGATAATGTCAGTGGGAGGAATTGACAGTTTTCATGTCAGAATTTTGTTAGAATGTGTCAGAATTCACCGGGGAGTCTGAACAGTTTTCATGTGTTGGAGGAGTGCAAGGGGGGTCTTGGGGGCCTCCTGAGTATCTGGTGGGGTTGTTGAAGAACTTGGGACAGGGACTTAAAAGAGTATCTCAAGGGTCTCTGGAAGACTTGGGGATCTGAAGAGTTAATGTCTTACCTTTTCATCATATAGCTCACCCCGCAACACCTCCGGAGCCATCCAGTATGGGGAACCCACCACAGCCAATGGCTCCTTCCTTTCCCCTTCCCTGTTGGGCAAAGGCAGAGTGGTCGGAAACATCCAACATACACCCTCCCCAAACAAAAAGGGATGAGGTCAGGCCCGTCCTCACCCAGGGGAGCCATCCCTGGGTTCTTCACTTAGATAGGGGCCTTCTGGGAGGTTTGGTGGAACAGGGGCATTCAGCTCACCTATACACAGGAATCTTCTCAGCCAGCCCGAAGTCACCCACAACAGCTGTGAAGCTTCGGTCTTCCCGACGAATCAGACAGTTCTGATATACACATATAGTATCCACACACCCATCACCTTCTGCTCTTTGATCTCCCAACGTAAAACCCAAAGCTCTGTCACTCCAGAATAACCCCAACCCTCTCCCAGTTCTCCAGTGTACCCCAAACTTGCAACATCATCCATCACTTCATACACAGTATGGTACTCAGCCCCTCAGAGCACAACCCCTCACCCCAGTCCCCCAGTGCCTTGCTACTCTAACATCCTTATATATTTATTATCCTCATTCCAACACTCATGGGCTAGTTACAACGCAATAGTCTCAAATGTCCCTTCATGCCTCTACCTATCTGGCCAGCCTACCTTGGATGTGAGGTCTCGGTGGAATACACCTTTGGCATGCAGGTACCGCAGGCCGTGGGCGATGTCCAGAGCCAGGCGGAGCCTGACAGGCCAGGATAGGGGTTCAGGAGAGCTGAGCAGCTGTTCCAAGGTTCCCCCATTCATATACTGGGGAATAGTGGGAGGAGAAGGGGAATGAATGTCAAGGATTCGGTCTGTACTCTAGTCTCCTATTTATAAGCCAGGGGACACTCAGGAGGATCACAAAGGTCAGTAGGGTGGGTCGGTGCTCCAGGGTTCCAAATTCATATTCTAGGGCTGTCCTATCCAATACACGTGCAACTATTTAAAATTAAATTAGTAAGTTTAAATGAAATTAAAGATTCAGTTTCAGTCAGACTAGCCACATTTCTGTGCTCCCTAGCCATGTGGCTAGGGGCTAGTTTTGCACAGAACACATATAGAACATTTTCATCACTACAAAAAGTTCTATTGGACAAGCACTGTTCCAGAGGATATAGAGGGTGAGAACGGCTGAGGCCTTTTGTGGTTTGCCCAAAGGAAAGTTTAGGGAAGACTCCCTGAGAGGAGGTCCTTCTGCCTCTCACTATTCCTCTGTAGAAGCACCAGGGCGTTGACTCTCTCCCCTTGGTGGTGGTGAGGTACCCCCTTCCAGGCCCATTCTCACCTCTGTAAGAGCGTGCAGCTGGCCCTGGTGCACACAGACCCCCATGAACCTGGAAGAGGGAAGGGAAGATAGGAGGGTAGGCTGCAAGAGACCGGGCCTCTCCGTAGTTCCCACTTTTCCAGCGGGATCTTCCCCTTTCTCCCAGCAAGCGGCTGGGGCCGCTCACCTTAGGATGTTGGGGTGCCGGAGCCGGTTCATCAGCTGCACCTCCCGTAGCGTGTTTCCCCGGTTACTAGGGAGCCTGTTCATTTTCAGCACCATGACTTGCCCTGACTGTCGGTGCCGAACCTGGGGGTGTCAGGGGCCGGCGAGTCCCGGGCAGGTCGGACGGGTCGCCCGCGTCCAGGCCCCCTAACTCCAGCCTCCAGTCTAAGGCTTGGTCCCGCCCCTCTGCCTTCTCTGCGGGTCCTACCTTGTAGACCTCGGAGAAGAAGCCGGCCCCGATCTTCTCGGCGCAGTGGAAATCGTCCACGCGCGCCAGGCTGGACACGGCGCTGCGAAGAGCCCGGTAGGAGGAGGGGCGGCCCCGGCCTGGGCCTCCGCCCGCGCCCCCCGGCCCCGGGGGCCCCTCCCCGGGCGCCTCTCCGGGCCCGGGCCCAGGGCCCCGCAGTGGGGGCCGTTCCCCGGCCATGGCCGGGCCCCCAGCCCGGGCCTGCCTCACATGGCAGGGTCCCCGGGGCCCGGGCAAGCCGCGCTTGCCATGGGAGCCGGCCCAGCCCGATCCCGGGCGCCGCGACTCTCGCTCCCGCCTTGGAGAATGGAAGATCTGCCGAAAATCCTGGACCCGCCCCCGCCGCGCCGACTTGCTGGGCCCGAGCGGACGCCGCGCCGCTCCGCTCCGCGCAGGGCCTGGGCCTGGGCCTGGGCCGGGCGGTGGCGGTGGCGCTCTCCGGCGCCGGCGGGCAGGCGGGCTCCCCGCTGGCGGAGGCGGCGGGCGGCGGCGGCTGCTCGGCTTCACCGCTGGGGCTCAGGCTCCGCGGCCTGCCGGGGGCGGGGCTGAGCCGGGCCTCTGCTTAACTCCTTGGAGCCCGGCCCCCAGGCAGCGGCCACGCCCCCTCAGGTACGCACCCCCAACTGTTGGCCACGACGAGCTAGGCGAATAGGTCTGGGGCGTCAGGGTCAAATAAATTCAGGCCCGAGCTGAATAACCGAAGGGAGTTAAGGGCTGATTGTTCGTACGCGCAAGTCAAATGTCTTTTAGCTGCGCAGGGAGTCCTCTCTCCCACCCTCAGGTCACTGTCAGTTGCGGGCCGGGCTCGCCAATTAGATCCCTCATGGCCAACCAAAATCTAAGGCAGCCCAGCAGCCTGCTCACCTTCCTGGCCTCCTCCCTGGTCCACCCTGCCCATTCCCCAGGTCTCCACCCTCACACCTTAAACCTCTAGACTCCCTGAAACTTTCTTCCTTTTCGGTCGGCAGTAAGCCCTTGGCC